ATCACTAGCTACAACTTTCACCCGTTGTTCTAACAACGTTAAGACGGCTTATCGACTTCTTGAGAAGAATTCTAAGAAGAAAGTAAACCTACAGACATCGGTCTTGTTTAACAAAATCTGCCTACAAGAAAATGTGTCACCAAAGTACACCAACATATATATATGTTGAAACATATCACTACTCCAGACACCTCAAGATGTATGAACATACATGGGTTGTCAAGGACAAACACAGATATTTGAGAGTCCTAACTTGAATAATCAATATACAGATTCTTATTACTTAAAAATAGAGATTACAGCAAATTATTTCATCCAAAGGTCAACACCCTCTTGTGAAACTCCAGCTTAAAAGATAGAAGTGTGTGTCTAGGACTAACAATAAGATATATGTGACTTGTAAGAGTCATGACTGTATTTTTTTAAATATACTTGCATATACACAAACATATATGTATATGATCAAAAATATCTCAACCTCAGACAACACCTAGATTTGTGAACAGGGGCATTGGGAGAAATAGCAATAACTGGTATGCCTTGGACAAACACAGAGGTTAAAGAAAATGCAAGAGTCCTGATTTAACAAACCAATAAATAATTACATACATTCCTAACACATAAGAAGAGACTAATCTTTCTTGTTTTCTATTGTTTGTATGGAAGCAAAAATTATTCATTTTCCCAAAATCCTGGAAATAAGTAAAAATGGGTTTTGGACATAAAATACAAAAATGCACGAGAAATAAATTAAATCAAGCCTGGAAAAGAACCCTAGGTGACAAATTGAATCCTGAAACTGAAGGTACAGTGATGTACTGAAACAAAAACATCAAACCATTATGCATGATCATAACCCATGCCCACTTATACGATGGTCTCTGAATGGTATGGAGGCCAAGAAGCCAAAGAAATTGCCAAATGCCAAGTATGATGAGATGTAACCTGATATTCATGTTGAATGTGATCAGGAACATCATCAGAAATAAGGCAGTTTGGGTATTTGTTTGTTCTTAAATGCAAAGCAACACAATAAGCCATCTGTGCTCTGATCACCAAGTGTATAAAAACCTCATTATTAGTGGTATAAGCCTTCAGATGTAAAGATGATCAAACATAGGCGAAACAATATCCAAAGCAATTTATTAATGTGGATGGATCAAGATAAATGGAACAAGAATCATCATAAAAGATTTTATGAAAAGATTCCATTCTTACAAAAGAAGTTGGAACAGACAAAAAGCACAGTGGTGACCATCTCTCACAGCACGAGTCTCAGAATGGAAGACTCAATCCAGATGTAAATACAGAGATTTCCTAGAAAAGAGTAAGAGAAACAAAAATGTCTGAACATCTCTACCCTGAAGGTAGTTACAAAAGAAAATACATCTTTATGGAAACAGAATAGAGTGAACGAGTTGTGAAGGTACAAAAGGAGAAGCCAAGACAACTGAAGATCAGATTTTATACCCCCCTGAGGACCATGTATCAAAAAAGAATCAAAATTATAATAGGGGCAACAGAAGTACATTACTTCTGCAGCTGAAAATGCAAGAGAAGCAAATAAACCCCAATCATGAAAGAAATACATGAAGAAATTGAGGCCATCTGTGAATTACTTTGAGAAAGACAAAACTCAATTCCACAGGCATCAACCCTGATGGAGAAACCAATGATACTGATGTACTGCTAAAGGGGAATGTCTACAAGAATATGAAAACATTCTAACAACCCAAGAGAAGAAGCCAGCTTCATTAACAAAGAATCACAAAACAGCCAGTCATGAAGCTGGAGATAACAATGTCGTTACAAATAATGTAGCAAAAGTAATGGAATAGAATTCCTCTGAGCTAGACAAGAGGAGTGGAAACTATGGTGAAGCAGGCCAGCCTGGGTAAGAAACAAAACTAGACAGTGGGATCAAATGATCCTTGCCTACATCCAAGAACAAAATATGAAAATGGTAGGCATAATATTTTCTCTTTGATGGGCTCAAAGTATCTGCTAAAAGAGGAGCTGGACATGTAAACCAATAAAGCATCAGAGAATAATGCAAAACTATTGTGAAACCATCAAGAAAAGGATGACCAAACCAGTAGTCCATGAAAGAACAACTCAGAAAAAGACATTATGTGAATATAGCCATAAAAAACATAGAAAACACAGTAAATGTGTGCCATAAGATTCCCACCTAGCCTGTTGATATAGTCACCATAGTCAACTTGTCTGTGAGCACAGGAACATAGTGGTAGGATAATAAGGGCAGGAAATTCCAAAATGCATGAGAAACAATCCAAATCTTTCAACATAAGAACGTGTGAATCAGATTTCTACTACTGAAAGAGAATACATCATTCCCAAATCATAAAGCATGTGACTGGGAGATGGAGAAGCACGCACCCCCAAAGCTGAGGCATGGACTCATGAATAGTCCTAACCAGAGCAGAAGCAAGCCAGGAAGATAATTCAGTGCAAGTCAACCACAGAAGACAAATCTTCTAATTATCCATGTAAAGATGACAACTGGTATTGACTGTGCTATGCATGAGACACAACTAAAGTGTGAAAATGGGATATCAATCAATGAAAGAGAATCCATCATTCCCAAATCAAAGAGCATGTGATTGACAGATGTAGAAGCATGCACTTTGAAACTTGTGGGATTGTAAAGCCCAAGGAGACAGGTGAAAAGTTTAAGAAAGTGTTAATACCAAATCTTGGATGAACAAGATACTGAATAGGCACAAACTTAGACCTTGACTCATGAATATTCCAACCCAGAGCAGAAGCAAACTAGTAGGATAATTCAGTGAAAGGCAACCACAGAGCAAAAATCTTTTAGTTATCCATGTAAGGATGACAGTTTATACTGACTGTGCTGTGAATGGGAGACCAACTAAAGGTGTGAGAATGGGGGTGCCAACCACTAAAATAGAATCCATCATTCCCAAATCAAAGAGCACATGATTGACAGATGGAGAAGTATGTACCCCTGAAACTTGAGGGATTGCAAAGCCAAATGAGACAGATGAAAAGTTTAAGAGAGGATTACTACAAAATCTTGGAAGAATAAGATTTTGAATATGTACAAACTGGAGCTTGGATCATAACAGTTCAACCCAGAGCAGAAGCAAACTGGGAGGATAATGAAGTGCAGGGCAACCAAAGAGCAAGAGCCTTACAATCATCCATGGATGGAAACTGATACTCACTGTGTGTGGGAGACAAACTAAAGCTATGACTGCATGTGTTAATACATAGAGGGCCCATGAAAAAACCATTATGAATGGACAAATCGCTCCATCATTTGATAAGTGAATCAGTAATTGCAAATAAGAATCATGTGAAACTCCATTGTCATCCAAAATCCCTGATGAAGTAACTAACATGAGATTTATGTAAGTTCCACTTACAAACAAGGTGTATCTAGATAAAAAATGAGACTGGAAAGATCTATGACTAGTTTCTACTCTCTACGTGTCTATTGTACCACAGAAAGATGAGAGGAAAAACCCTGAAGTAACATGAAATACAAACTTTCACGTGGAAAAGGTCTGAAACTTCAAGGTCCAAAATTGAATTGAAACTGAAGTGAATCATAGATGATGAATTGAAAAAAGAAAATCAAAGCGAAGAATCTTATGAACCAAAGATACATGAAGCAAAAAAGTCCATATATAAAACAAATTATGAGAAAACCTCTAAAATCCCATATAGAGCAGTCATCCAGAATAGAGTCGTAAAGATCCACCTTGCTTATACTAATACTAAGCTATATAAAACTTTATGTATGTGTTTGAGTACAAAGCTATACAATTTCGAATTTGCTGACGAGGAACCCACTTTGAGACTAATAATGCTTGAAGATGACTTGAATGGGTAATGAAGAAAAACTTTAATATAAGTTTTTCTTCATTACCCATTCAAGCCATCTCCAAACATTACTATAAAGCTATACAATACCCTATCTATGTTTCATCCAACAATCAAAGAATCAGAATCAACAAAGAAATAATTCTTAATTAGTTTGTATAAGTCATTTTGGTGTTAATGAATGGTTCAGTTAAAATTTTCATTTTTTTCTTCTTTACTTCTTTTAATGTGTTTTATAAATTGTCCAAATTCTTTTAATTGTTTTTAAATTGTTCATATTATCCATTTTTATATGCTTTATGTATCTTTCTTAATCATATTTCTATTTTCATTGTTTTAAACAACAATCTTGTCTGTTTTTCATTAGTTTTGTTATATTGTCTTAACTATATACTTAAAGCTTGTGTTTCTTCCCTACTCATTATTATTTTATTGTATATATATATATATATATATTATATTCCATTCAGAACATTCTGAAATAGTTTGCCATTAACTGGCAAGCCTGTATCTGGCTCAAAAGGGAGCATTTGTTCAAAACTATAAAAAATGAAGCAAAATAATTTGCAAGGTGATTTATCTCTAAAAACTAATTATTATATCACAACCTCATTTTTCTATTTCTACTATACCCATAAATATACACATAAGAATTTGTTACCTGCTGAGGCTGACCCTGTTGACCCTGAACCTGGCCAATAGGAATAACATGAATCTGTACAGAAAAAATAAAAATAAATAGTAATATTCAGATAAACTCAAAACTTCTACATAGGAACGTTGCAGTATTTCACTAATATTAATATTCTTTCAACTAGTTGTTGTCTTTCAAATGTTACAAAAGAGAATAGAACATTACAAGCAGTTTTATAATTTAATGCTGTTTTCCTTTAACAAAGTACTTTGCAAATACTTGATTGATGTTTTTATTATTTCTTCAGTCACACAGTAAATGAATGTAGCTATTTATCTAAAATTCCTATTTTCTATTAATGTATTAATGACTAATATCAGCAACAGATGATGGTAAAAAAGTACATATATATACATACACACACATTAACAGCTAAAATGTTTACAAGGTATTTTCAACCCAACAAATGCAATAAACCTTACAACTACTATAATAGATATTAATATAGCCAAAATCTTTATTTTGGAATACAATACATACAATTCAAAATAAGCTCTAATTTTCTACTCATAAAAATAAATGTAAGAGGGAGCCACTACAGTATCTGCATGACTCCCAGCACTGTACCTGAGATAGTGGCTGAGTTGACTGGTGGCTAGGTTGACTTTGAATCTGGAATTTACCCACCTATGAGCTTGTATTTCTACACTTAACACATACAAGTATATATCATAGATATATTACACTATACAGAGTTGTATCTCTACCTCACAACAGACTTTCAAGCATGGAAATTCATATAAAAATGTAGTTCTCTTCAAACAAAACTATAATCACAAATTTATGTTAGACAAAATTAAACTTACTGTCAGATACAAAATATGTATCAATGTTCAACCTGCAAAAAATTGGAATTATGTACCATGTATGATTGTATCTCTTAACTGCATGTAAAACAAGCTTTTTAACACCCACTCTGCAAGTCAGGGAGACATATTTAGTGGGTTGATTCTCAAACATAGCTTTCCAGTTCTCTTCTTTTATTTTTATTGTCAATAGAGACTTGAGCTCCTTATTATGTCTGTGATATGAATTGTCCACCAATTTGGCTGAATTCACATTAGCTTCGAGGCTATAATGGGGTAAAACTCTTAACCCAGTTCAAAATGCCACTCAAAGCATAGTTTTTGTGAGTTCTGTCGAAAGAGATAAACAAGGAAGGCTCAACAAAGATTAACTGATACTTACCTGAACATGAACATTTCTGCTATTTTATGTAAGAGGAACACAGTCCAACCAACACCCTAAACTATGCATCTTCATGGCTGATCACTACTGAGAAGTGAGTTATTTTGGCAGTAAGAAGAGTCATTTTTTTTAGTTTAACAGAATAAGTCCTCTATTGGAGTACATATTTTTGGTTCTGACTTGAATACTAGAAGCTATGACACCCTTCTGTAGCTCAACTAATCCTCTGAATTCAGTCTCACTAACTTGCACACTGGGTGTTAAATGAACAATCAGACTGTAAACACTGAACTACACATAATTGATACATAGAATAACATAGTAATATAGGCATTTCTGATAATGTGCAATAATCTATAAAAAACATAAAAAATGACAACTTAAGAAAATAGATTCCCCTGTTATTATCCTTTAATCAAACTATTTTTCTACATTCTTGCTAACAAAGTTTGAATAAATGTTTTTCAGTGATGGATCCTATATTAATTCTCATTGTGTGCTTGTTTGTCTGTGAATCACTCCTACAGTTTTGGAGCTAGCAAGACCAAACTTGGTGGTTGGACTCTGGGTATCATTAAAGTCACCCAAGCATGACGTGGGTGTAAGAGAGGTTGCCAGGGTTGCTTAACCCAAACCTGGCATCAGATTTTGAATTCCTAGCCCTCTTTGGGGCTCCATGTTTGAAACTATGTTCCTACCCCCCTACTCATAATCCAGTGGAACCAAACATGCCACATGTGCTCAGGCATCACAAATGGCTGTCCTAAACAGGTTTATTTCTGAGTATGGACACCCCTTGGAATAACTATAGAACTGGGGATAATGGAAGATGTTAATTAGTACACTGGATAAAATGTGAATCATGATGGGGGCCTTTGAACCCCATGGCAGAACATGGGTATTTTTATGCTTTTACGATTCCATATAATTTCATGATTTTTAGATGACATTGGTAACATTATGTACAATATTCAATGCACTAATGTGTTGCTATCTCTTGTGTAGTATCATATGAGAACCACAGAATTAATTCACTATTCAGACTAACTGCAAACATTACCACAGTTTACTACAAACTCAAGAAATTCACATCTGAACTAACTTGGACAATTCTAGAAGCACAAGTTTACATCTACGTAGTAATCTATAAACCAGCCAATGCCATAATAGAATTTCAGACATTTCAGTAATTAATGTAATTTCAAGAATAAAGCATTGGTAATATGGGCATTATTCTTGCTTAGTGTAACATTTCTAAATGACAGACTCTAAATCTGATAGTAAAAGTGAACTGAAGTTAATTTTGTATTAGGCTTTTAATCTACTATTTTTATGAAAACTCTCATTTTTATCTGTCGAAACTTAAGTATGGTGCTTCAAAATCTTTCTAACTTTTATTATTATTTTTCAATAGCAGGTCTATCTTTCTTTTCAAGAATATTACATCAAAACTTTGAACTATTTTCTATATACTTTAACACTAGATACTTTCATGAAATCATATTTACTTAATAACAAAGTAACACTTTGAATTACTAAGCATGTTTGAAAGTATATATTTGAAAATAATATCAAAATTAAAAACAGTTTGTTTAAAGGTTGCCATCCAAAGCTTTATATATAAGTATTAAATTGAAAAATTGTATTTGTTTTTCCATTTATTGATAACATTTACTTTACTTTTTAATACTTCGTTAAAGCAGCAAATGTTGAAATTGTTCTGATTACTTGTATGGAAACGATATGATAATAGTGACACATTTACACAGTTGGCAATGGGTCTGCTGAACACTAGAGCTGGCATGTTCATCTCACAGTCTAAAAATAAATTTCCAATAAAATACAGCGTAAATGATTGCAACATAAAGTAACTGTGTCAAGATGAAACAGTTTTACAAGCTAAAGAACAGCACTCTAAGTTTGTAAACATCATCACCAACAGATTGTATGATTCCTCCTCAATCTGTAGCAAGAAAAATATATTTAAAAAAATAAGGCAGGGCCAAATCTTTACATGATTTGTCCCATGATTGACTATATATATATATTTGCCATTAGACATGTCATTAATCTTCTTCTTGTTTGACTGAAGAAAACAAATTTTGGTATATATATAAGTAGATAAGTCACTCAGGGCATCAAGGCAGTGCTTTCATGCATGAAATAAAGCTGATACCATTGTTGGATGTACTTATACACATAGTGATCACAAGTCAAAAGTGGTAATTATCCATACACGAATTACCAGTTAAGATTCACTTGGAATATTGTGTACAATGTTGGCTTCCTTATCGAAGAATGTATAATGACCTATTGAATGATGAGTTCAGGAATTGAAGGGTTTTATAATGGGGATAGGTTAAGATTTTTAGCTTACTTTCTGTTGAGGAAAGTAGGATGAGAATTGATCTTATGACCACTAATGTATGAATTTGTAGAAAGTTGAATGAACCTGCAAACATGTTCTGAAAGCAGATTTGATACTCTTAATAGGACTTGAGCAGCTCTTTGGTAAGTTTCTGACATTGTTTCAAAAGCAGTAACATCCGATCCATATATTACAGAGAGAAATGATGGAATTGATCAAATCCTTTGGAAGAAGACTTTCAAAATCTGACTGTATACAAGACAAACCAGGTAAAAGTTTGGTGAAAATAGATATCAGTACACAAGAACATTAGCTATCAGAAGATCAAGAAACATAAGTTAATATTCTCCTAAACTGAAAATGTATTTCTGATAGATACTTACATCCACTCAAAAAATAGCTTTTCTCGATTAGTACTGCCCTCTATCACCACAAACTTTCAATACTCACCACTAGCCTTCCACCTCCCACTTTTGCATATCCACATGTAAATGATTATGTAGCAGCTTTACATCAACAGGAGAGGAACACAACTCCTATCATATCCAGTGGCCTCTCCACAGTTCCACTTGTTAATCACTTCAAGATTGGTCAGAATACTTACCCCACATATCACCAGAAGTGCGGAGGCTGGGTGGGAATGTAAGAGGAGGTAAGTATTTATCAGAAATACTTTTTTAGTTTAGGAAAATGTTAACTTCCAATACAATATCTTACCTCCTCTAACATAATAGCTAGAATCCCACACTGAACTGGTGGAGGGCCATTGGAAAAATGATCCTCCCCTTAGGAAGTGCCCAAAGAATGGTGTGGAACCAAAAAAGAAAATATCACGCAGAAGACCGCACCGTGTCTGATCCTGGTATACCCTTCATTCTGTTATGATTGTGTCATGAACATAAAAGGTGGAAAAACATGAAGGAATCCCATAAAACATATTACCAAGTAATGGGACCCCTGGGTGTCGAGTGGCTAGGACATGACAGACCATACAGGTAGTTCGACTTCAACCAACACCTGGCAGTATCTCTAATTGTGCATCAGATCCATGGTAGGTAAAGAACCACCTACCTCTCCACCTCGATATGGGACTTGGTAGGGAAGACAAGTTGCCGTACCAAAATCCATCCCCATTTGCATGCATTTCCAACCCAACCAATAAGTATCCACCACAAAACTTAGCAGACAGTAGGAAGAAGGATCGCAAACCGGGGGTGCATCTCCACTCCATAACATGGCAGCACTGAGCATTTTCCATCCAGTCCATGGTAGAAGGAGGGATACTGGACAGAACACATATGAGGACTTACTTAAGTGGACCATCTCCAACCAACATCTAACTCCTAAGAACAACATCCAGAGGATGGTAGGAAGGAGGAACGTCTCAGTATGAGGGGCAAACTGCAATATATATATATATATGTAGTCATAGCAATGGCGGAGTGCTTCAACCAAAACCTCGCAGTATCTGGAATTGTACAGCTGGTCCATGGTAGGAACGGTGTCACCCCTTCGACACATGATTTTAACTGTGATCGAGTCATCTCCAACCAACACCAGACCCACTGGGGATGTACATCTGGAGAATGGTAGGAAGGAGGAATGCCATGGTGGGAGAAAGCAATATGCCAGATATGTATATATATATATATATATATATAGTATAGATAGATATAGTAATAGTGGCTATGTCTGTACTAACCAAAACCCTAAAACCGTAGGAACGACGGACTAACGTTCGTAGGGTAAAGTTA